TTAAAAAATTGAGTTCATTGCTTTATAATTTAAACTATAAAATAAAGATACTTAGATAAAAAATGGTTGGATGATCTTGATATTGAGAGCTCTTTTTATCTAAATTTTAATTTTTATAATTTAAATTGTAAAATAATTTTTTCAATAAAATTAATTATTTTTTCATTTAAAAATATAAACTTTATCTTATTCTAATTAAAATTATTATTTATCATGTTATCATTGCCTTTTAATAAATTCTTTAAATAAAAAATGTAAAATTTACATCCTTATTAAACTCAAAAATTCATATTCTTAAACGGAAGAAAATTACAAACTTTACATCCTTCTCTGCATGTTTTTTCATTCCGCGTCGGCGTTTTTACTTTTGAAAAATACGTTCTTATTTTGGGCCAGGTTGGGCTACACAAAATGCGGCCCATATCGGAGTTGACGAAGCCATACGTTTCGAAACGGATTGAAGGATACACCAGAGGTCGAAACTCAAGTTTTTACTTTTCTGCATTTCTCTCACTCAGACTTGGAGAAAGAGGAATACGGGAAGGATGAAGAAGCTCTCCGTCTTGGTCGCTTCAATCGCTCTTCTTCCTCTTCTATGCCTGGCGTTCAGTCCTGAAAACCCTACGGAACGCCGCATCTTGGTATTGCTCGACGATTTCTCTCTCAAGTCGTCTCATTCCGTTTTCTTCAACTCTCTCAAGACTCGCGGATTCGATCTCGATTTCAAGCTCGCCGACGATCCCAAGCTCGCCCTCCAACGTTACGGCCAGTACCTCTACGACGCCTTGATCCTCTTCTCTCCAGCTTCCGAACGTAAGTTCAGTACGACTTCGCATTTTGGTTGTTAATGATTTAGTGTATGTACTCACGGTTTCTTTCTTTTTCTTGTTTTTCGTTATAGGGTTTGGTGGATCCTTGGATTTGGAGGCGGTGCTTGACTTCGTTGACTCTGGTCACGACCTGATTGTTGCGGCGGATGCGTCGGCGTCTGATTTGATCAGGAACATTGCTGCAGAATGTGGAGTCGATTTCGATGAGGTCAGTTTTGTTTTGAAGGAATTTGTTTTCTTTTATTGATTTCGCTGGATTTCTTCTTCGATGCATATTTGTTATTACATTGTATAGGATACAGCGGCTATGGTTATTGATCACAAAAGCTATGCCATTTCACACACTGATAGTGACCATACACTGATTGCCAGTGATGATTTCATTCAATCTGATGCGATTTTAGGAAAAAGTAAAATCAAGGTAACGTTTTCATGATATGTACATTTGCATTGGGTTTCAAAAGCAGATTATTTCAATATTTAAATCGTTAGCTCTAGTGTTCAAACTTAATACAAAGTGAAATTTACATTGCTTATATTTCAGGCTCCGGTGCTTTTCAAAGGGATTGGGCATTCAATAAATTCAGCCAATAGCTTGGTACTGTCCAAAGTGTATTTCTTTCTTTTTCAAATTGAAGATTTATACTTCTTTGATTATTCTTTTTGTCTAGCTCTGTGTTAACACTTTTTTTATCTCGTGGTTTATGACATCATTCTAAGGTTTTGAAGGTGCTTTCTGCATCACCTTCAGCATATTCTGCAAACCCAAGCTCCAAATTGTCAAATCCTCCACTCCTTACTGGATCAGCCATCTCGTTAGTCTCTGTCCTGCAGGTATTTTGATTCTCTCTAAATCTTTCACGTCTGTGTTTTATTGATGCTTATAATGGTGAATGCAAGTTTTTCTCATTGATACCCATTTGTTTAGAAGTTAGTTGCCTTAGAATCTTCTGAAAGGCCATTTTAGATTCGTTGAAGCACATGCTGATATTTGATTCAATTTTAAACAATTGCTTGCAACTGAATCCTTTTAAGCATAAAACATAATGATGCTTTTACATAACGCAGGCTAGAAACAATGCTCGGGTTATGATTACTGGCTCATTAGATATGTTTAGTAACAGGTATGCAACTATGTGATAGTTTTCTTTTCTAGATATGAACTTCCTCTGATGTTTATTATTTTGCTGATTCCTATGTGCCTTGCAATTCAGGTTGTTAAGATCAGATGTACAAAAAGCTGGGAACCCAGATAAGTAAGACTTGGATTATCTTTCTGCTTATAACTTTACCATGTTGGGTTGTATAGCTTCTAATGTTGTGTTGTGTTTTCCAAACTTTTGGTATATTTTAATCTAGTAATACCATCTAAATTGTTAAAGTCTTTTGCATTTTTACCAACTATATGAATGTATGTGCAAGTTTGCTCGGGTAAGTACTCATTAAGCACATATGTTTAAAACGAGTAAGAATGGAAATTAATTACAAGTTTTTCCTCCATTCTTCTGAAGTTCATGTTTAATAGGATGAATAGTTAGCAAGCTTCAATTTTAGTTGTAAGCACTGATTTGCATTCTATACCCAAGATGGACAAATCCCAAGCTTGCTGTGTGGAAGGAAAAGAGGGAAAGGGGGGATGTAGGGGGATTAACTCCTTTGACTTATTTACCTCATAATTTATAAACTATTATTCCAACACAATTGCAAGTTTTCCCTATTCTGTATCTACATGCATTCTGCTTGAGCAAAATCCATAATTTCTACTGTTAAATTTGCAGTTTCAATCAAGTAACTTGCCTTTTGCCTGACTAATTACAGATATGAGAAATCAGGTAATGAACAGTTTGTGACTGAACTTAGCAAATGGGTGTTCCATGAAAGGGGTCATTTGAAGGTGAGTATATAAACTTTTTGTACTAAACAGATTTTGTTATGTTGTGGTATGTCCATTTAATATGAAGTTGTAGTAAATTGAGAGGGTTAAATCAATTTCAATAAATTACAAAGTTCATTGAGGAATCCAAAATCTCACTTATCTAAAAACATGCACTTAATTGGCTTGAAAAAAAATACACTTAATAGTTTTGATGCTTTTATTATCTTGCTTTACATCAACACTGTTTGTAATCTCCAGGCTGTTAATGTTAGACATCATGGGGTTGGGGAAATGGATGAGCCTGCAATGTACAGGATCAAAGATGACTTGGTATTACGTTATCCCTCAGATAAGTTATTTTGTTGAAAAAAACATATCCAAGACTTTAACCATTTGTGTTTGCTCCATTCTGAATTTTTTAATTACAGAACTTTTCTGTCGAGATATATGAGTGGTCTGGAAAGAACTGGGAGCCGTATGTGGCAAATGATGTTCAAGTTCAATTTTACATGATGAGCCCGTATGTGCTGAAAACACTATCAACTGACGGAAAGGTACGGTTTGCTTGACCTGCTTGTTTATTCAACATTTTTTGGACCTAATCATGGATTTTTGACTTTGCTAACCTAGCTTTGAAATCTGAAATCACCTTTTTTTTTTTTTTGTATGCCTGATTTTACAGGGTGTGTATCAGGCATCATTCAAGGTGCCTGATGTTTATGGAGTATTCCAGTTTAAGGTTGACTATCACAGGCTCGGATACACTAGCTTATCTCTTTCCAAACAGGTTCGCTTTTGGCTTCAATAAAGTTGTCTACTTGGTCAACTAATTCTATTATTCTAATCTTTAACTACATTGCAATCATAACTTCATTTTTTTTTTCCTTTTTTGGCTAACATTCATAACTAATTATTTTCTTAGATAATTCCAGAACTAAGCTTTTAATCCTGACAAAGACATGATGCCTTCTAAGACTAAGAGTGTTCTATAAACACACTTATAAATTAACCATCATGTACATTCCTTCAAGATAAATCATATTCTGCTTATGGAAATATGATGGTATTGCTTCATGCTTCTTAACTTTATACAAACTGGAACGTTTTTATGTGTTCAAGGTCTAAGCTACGGAAGTAATAACTTTGCAGATTCCTGTTCGACCCTACAAGCACAATGAATATGAACGATTCATAACAACTGCTTTTCCCTATTATGGAGCTTCCTTTACTACTGTAATCTCTCTCTTTCGCTCTCCCTCTCCCTCTCAGTTGTTTTAGGCTTTTAGCAAATTTGATCTAAACAGTAATTATGTTGATTGCAGATGGCTGGTTTCTTCATCTTCAGCATAATTTACCTGTACAACAAGTAAAGCATTGACGTTACCATTGCCTACTTGTTGGTTTAGCTGTCGTTCCAAGAAAAGGAAATACAAAAAAAAGGGGATTTAGGAATTTTGGACTCTTGCTTAATATATATTTAAAACATAAATTAACTGCATCAGTGATAGATGTGTGATTTTCTTCTCATTCATTAGTTATCGATGGAATTTGGTCACAATAATACTCTATTAGTTCAGATAGATTTTGCTCTGACGACATCACAACGTCAGGTGGTGGTGGTTGTTTAAGATACATGTTACTGTGCAGTCATGACTTAGAAGCAACACGCAAAAGAAGCAATTTTTATTTCGGTGTTCTCCGCTTCTGCTTTCCGATTCGTCAAATATAATGATTTGAATTGCATGCAGGAATGGAATCAACGCATTCTCAAGGCTAGAATCTCATTCCCATTAATGAGGGGTATTTTTCCATTTTTTTTAGGAAAAAAAATTAGGTGCACAACGTGAGACACATCAAAATTCAGCCGGCTCCGGAAGCCCAACAGAATTGCTTATTTTGTTATTGGACAGGAAAAAAAAATTAAGTTTAGAGAATATATATTGTTTTTTAAAAATAAAAATGAAAACAATAAATAGTTTTTTTTTAAATATATTTAATTTAAACACCTGAAATTTAAATTTTAATCTAAAAAATTCAATGGAGGAAGTTAAAAATTATTGGGAGTTCGTACAAAACAAAAAAATGTATTTACATCTGATTAGTGGAGTAACCTCTAATAAATAATGGTAGGACTAGATTGGGACGGATTCCTTTATGGTGGAGCATGTGGAAGTGGACGATGCCAATTTGTCCTTGAGGTTCACTAAAATCCAAAATACTATCTTCAAAGCACCGAGCACCCCGGCTGAAATTTCCCTGCTTTAAATAACTAAACTAAAATGGACCCGATTAACGGAAATATGGAACAAAGCTGGGAAATCCACTAAATCTGGTACCATTTTTACTTGCCAATTGAAAATATTTTTTACCCTTGTTGGTTCAATCTCTACAAAATATAAGTTACAGGGCAGCTGCTCGCCGATTCTCCCTCTTCAAAGCCGCCGGCAATTTTCCTGTGAAACAAACTAGTAAAAGGGAGAAAACCCATCTGAAAATGAATACCGTGAATCTGGGTTCGTGGGTTCAGACCTGCTTCGTCTCTAACCAAGCAACTAGATCCAGATCCATACCCATACCCAGATCCTCAACTTTTAGTCCTTTCAAAAGATTCGGTCTGCCGGTGGTGGCGTTCCCAACAAAATCCCGTCCTGTTTCTTCTGTTCCTTTTATCTCTTCTGTCCTTACCAGGGAAGATACCATCAAGGAAGAAGAGCAAGACCCACATAAACCTACCTTTGATTTCAAATCCTATATGGTCCAAAAGGCGAACTCTGTCAATCAAGCCCTGGACGCTGCCGTTTCGCTCCGGGAGCCTTTGAAGATCCACGAAGCAATGCGCTACTCGCTCTTGGCTGGGGGGAAGCGCGTGAGACCGGTGCTCTGTCTAGCGGCGTGTGAGCTCGTCGGCGGGCAGGAATCCGCGGCCATGCCGGCTGCTTGTGCCGTCGAGATGATCCATACCATGTCGCTAATCCACGACGACCTCCCCTGTATGGATAACGATGATCTTCGCAGAGGAAAACCCACAAATCACAAAGTCTTTGGCGAGGATATCGCTGTCTTGGCCGGAGACGCGCTTCTCTCTTTTGCATTCGAGCACATGTCAGCATCCACTATTGGTGTCACGCCGGAACGAATTGTGCGTGCTGTAGGGGAATTAGCGAAATCAATTGGAACGGAAGGGCTGGTGGCTGGTCA